AAAAAAAAAAAAAAAAAGGAAACCCCAGGAGGGGAAGCTTCTAATTTTCACCTCAGTGGCGGGGACCAGGGCAGTGTGGACTGAGGAGAGTGACTCCAGCCTGGGCCACAGAGCAAGACTCCATCTCAAAAAAAAAAAAAAAAAAAAAGAACTAAAACTAGGAAGCCCCATGGAGTCAGAGAAATGTTGGGGGAATGAAGAAAAAATGGAGATGTCAGCTGGGCCAGAGTTTAGAGGACACCAGTTTACCATATTTTAGGATATGAGTAAGCAGGCACAAGGCAGAAGAGCAGAGTTGAGGTTCAGACTTGGGACCAGGACCCCTCCCCACACAGTGAAAACAGACATTAGGAGTTCAACAGCCAAACATGGTCACCAGAGGGTCCATGACAGACAGTGTGAAGGGATTAGGAATTCAACAGTCTGTATCATGAAAGTGGTCCAACGGGCAGGGACAGGAGGGATACAGAAACTGTGTACAAGCAATCCGTCATGCATGTGGCATCATCAGAGTTGGTACAAGAACCTCAAGCACTGCTTAGGCTCATGAAAAGGGCTTCAGGTCCTGAAGGGCAAAGGCAGAGGCAAGGCTGAAAAATAATTGACCCTCTGGATCCAAGGGTTTTGCATCTATGGATTCAACTCATCGTGTATCAAAAACATTCAGAAAAAGATAAATTCTATAAAGTTCCAAAAAGCAAAACTTGAATTTGCCATGTGCTGAGTATGTTGAATCCATGCCGAAGAAGTGATGTGTAGGCTTTGCATCGGGTGTTATAAGTAATCTAGAGATGATTTAAAAGTATAAAGGAGAATGTATGTAGGTTGTATGCAAATATTATGCCATTTTATATAAGTGACTTGAGCATCTGAGGAGTCTGGTATCTGCAGGGGGTCCTGGAACCAATTCCCCCTGCAGATACTAAGGAACAACGAGGCAGAGGCCACATCCCAGAGGGCCCAGGGAACTGGTGTTCTAACTAAAGTGGAACGCTCTGTAGAACCATCCCCCAAAATGAAATCTCACATTGCACTCTGAAGAGACAGCTTGAGAACTCCACCTGCCACACTGCCTCTGCTTACTTGGAGGCCTCTGTGTCCATCTGATGTATCCTAGAACTCTGCAAAACACTCTGTGAAAATTGGGGTTCTAGGGGGCAGTGTTGAGGGTTAAAAATTAATGGGTTCAGGCATATAGGAAAATAAGAGGAACTGTTTGCCTAAATTTAGAGCATAAATTTGGAGAATGAAGTAGAAACACAAGTACAAAAACCAGGGCTCAAGATCAGGATCAGTCAAGGTTGATAATTCCTAGGGCCATACTGGGTTAAAGCTGCTGTTCATGGTCAGGGTTGGGTCTTGACAGCGAGTGGGGACTGGGCCCACAAGGTGGGAGGCAAATGCCTCCTCCTGCAGAGAAAAGGGGCTGGAAAGGAGTGAGGGGGAAGCAAGGGCTTTAGAGATTACAGATTTAGCAGCCTTGTTGGTTGCATACGTGATTTAAAATGTGAATGAGATTTTTTAAGGTTTTTAAATATATTCTTTAGCTTTAAAATGTGGGAAAATAGAACTTATGACAAATGTCAATGGAATAAATGAATAAGAGAGTGAGGAATAAATGAATAAGTGAAAAAGCACAAGTCTAAATGCTAACCTCTATGAATGTTCAGGAATAAGGGAACTTGTAGTATATCTTTTTGACAGTAGATGGTAGCATTTTATGTCTTTCACCCTACAGAATTCTTGGCCAGGAAGCTCAAAGATGGTCTTCTCCACTCCTCTCCTTTTGGAATTGAGAAAACGGGAGCCTAAGGGTGTGACAAGACTTTCCTAATGGCACATGACTTGGAGAGAAAGCAATACAAGTCTTTGGAAATTAATCTAGTGCTCATTCCACAGGAAGGAATAAATAACAGTTTAGCTGTTTTCACGTAACACTAATAGATTTCTACCAACATATTATCTCATCTGATCACCAGGCACTGCCATTTCTAAAGTTCATTCAGCGGTTATAGCTGCAATCTGTGGAGTGGAAAAGAGTAAATTCACAAGTGACTTACCCCGGGTTCAGAAGCTCTGCCCTTGGGTGATAGTGTAGGTCAGTGGTCAAAACACTATCCCTATAATCAGACTAGGCCTGGGTTTGCATCCTATCTCCATACTTCTAGCTTTAAGACCTTTGCCAGTTACTTAACCTCTCAAAGCCTCAGTTTCTTCACCTTTAAAATGGGCATAGTAATAACCAACTTAAGGGTTGTTTGTGTGGATTGAATGTGATGATGCTTACGAAATAGGTGGTAGTACATTAAGCAATAATTATTAGCAATTATTGCTGGTCTCATTATTACTAACTCTACACTGAACAATACATTAGAACAATAGTACCTTTTGCAACTAAACAGGAGCTATGAATTAATTAATTCAGTGCACTTCTATTTTAGAACATAAAATATACTAGATACTTTGCCAGCCAGATATCTCAGGGGAATTAAAGACAGATAAGATCTGGCCCCTGCCTTTGAGAATTCCACTAAATTACCAAAGCTTGTATTTGAGTAAATTTTACTGGTAAATGATCAGCTTCAATTCAACAGACATTTTTCACACACACCCATTATTATTCTGCCTAGCTGCTGCAGGGGGTATAAAGATGAAGAAGGCACAGCTCCTGCCTTCAAGAAGCTTATATTCAATATAGAAGTGGAGAGAGGAGGGAAGTGCACACATAGTTATGCTAGGGTTAAATCTCACCCATCCCTGAATAAGGTCTGCGGCTGGGATTTAGTAGTGCTCAGTGGAAGGTGAGTGTAGGAATGAAGAAATGAAGAATGTAGCTGAAGAAGACTCGGTAAGGAAGTAAAACTTTCAGTGACATAATGCTGAGCCTTTTCACTTACTAACAGTGTGACCCTGGACGAGTTATTTAACCTCTTTAACCCTGTGTCTCTTCCTTACCTATAAAATGAGATGATACTGCCTTTCCTCATGTTAGAATTGTGGTAAACAGAATTGCTATAATGACATGAAAGCACTTCCTGAAAGTGTGCAATTTTTTTTTTTTTTTTGAGACGAGTCTCGCTCTGTCACAAGGCTGGAGTGCAGTGGCGCAATCTCAGCTCACTGCAACCTCCACCTTCCAGGTTCAAGCAATTCTCCTGCCTCAGCCTCCCAAGTAGCTGGGACTACAGGCGCGCACCACCACACCCAGCTAATTTTTGTATTTTTAGTAGAAACGGGATTTCCCATGTTGGCCAGGATGTTCTTGAAACTGTGCAATATTTAACTAAAGCTATTAAAATATTATTTAAAGAGAGGGAGAACTTTTTAATCTAGATTACCATTGTTGTGGAGAGTGTTGTTTGCTTCAGCTCAAGAACACCTTTATATAAATCCCTGATGATTCGCCATTCTCTGATGTCATCTTAAAAGCCATAAGAAAGGACAGGCCCACAGCCTACCTTCACACGTTGGTGGGGAGTCTGTCCAGCGTCCCGATCGAGTACAATCCAATCTTTCTGGTCCAGACAAAGAAAATCCCTCATCACAGATGAAGTGACAGGTGGATTTATAACTGGAACTTCCAAGAGGTTGGACACAGGTCATTGTTCCATTCTGAGGGCTTAGCAAAGGTGTGCAGGGAATGGCTATCATGGGCATGGCAGAGGAGAAAAGAAGAGATTCGTTTTATAATTCAGCAACCTGAACTCTGTAATTCTGTGTGTGTGTGTGTGTGTGTGTGTGTGTGTGTGTGTGTGTGTGTGATTAATATACAACAATGGTAGTTGGCTAAAAGTGATTGTTTGAATTTCATGATGCTTTATCACCAGTTAGAGGTTGCGGAGGTGTAAAATGGCTGCAGCTTACAGTTGATTGGTTGACATCCTGAAGTGCTCAATCACAGACAGCTTTAGAAGTGATTTTTAAAGGAAGCTGGTGCTCTGTTTGGGAAGATAGTGGTGCAACTCATTTTGGTTGCTTCTAGACAGGAGTGGAAGTGGTTGCTCCCTTGATACCTTCTTCAGAAACACCCCTAATGACCTTTCCAGAAAACAATGACAAGTGAGTAGAAACACAGAAATGGAGGAAAATACTTTCTTCCCCTTTCCCAACTAAGTGGTGGAATCTGGGTCGAAATTTTAGCTCTGTTACTTACTAGCAATCTATTACTATACAATAACCTTTCTGAGCCTCAGTTGCTTTATCTTCTAAATGGGAAAAAGGATAATCCTTGCCAGTAGCAATCCTTAGTTAAAATTGTTAATTAAATCAGATACAAAAATTACATTTAAAATAAAAGAAAAATCATGGACATATAATAGGTATACAATGTGACTGGCTTTTGTAAGTGCTACTTTCTACTTCTCCAAAATAGTCTTGTCCTACAGTGGCCAGCCACAAATAACTCTACTTATTCATTTACAAACAGTTAAATTAGGTCTCATAGTTCTTTGCCAAAGTTTATGCACATAGAGTTTGAGGTGCTAGAGGATGTGCTTGGATTGGAGGTCATGCTCTGTGACTTTTGGTAAGTCACTCAACCTCTCTGAACCTCAATAGCTTCACCTTTAAGATAGGAAGATAACGTTACATAGCTCCCAGGATTTTTACTAGAATCAACAATGAAAATACTGTATGAAATTTTCTTTTCTTTTAACTTTCATTTGAGGTTCAGGGGTACAGGTACATGTGCAAATGTTAATAGCTGTCAAGATGTTCCTCTGCCAGTGATTGAAACAATAAAGCCTAGATTCAATGTGTTAATGTATTGACATTAAAAAGTGAAGACTAAGTGAACACATGCCTTAGGGTATTTCTCCGTTACTCGCTATTTGACCTGGTTGAGCAGTGTATGGCTTTATACCAGAGGTAGTTGGGGTATGGCTGTCCTAGGGTCATTTTTCAGCCACTGACTTAAACAGCATGAGGTTTCAAGAACACTTTCTATACCTTTCTCTTCCCTTCATTCCTTCCCCTCTCCAGCTACATTCCTTTCAATCTGATCAACTTGTCCAAAGATCTGGTTCTTTTCTTCTACTTGAAAAGTATTTCTGTGGTAAGCGCGTATGTGGGGCTGGAGAGGACACAACAAGCCTATAAACTGCAAGGACTTATGGGGGAAAGGGTGTGGGTGAGGAGGCTGGTACCACAGAGCCCATTTCCAGCTTTTTGTGGCTTTGCCTTCTGACAGCAGGGGTAGATGTGGAGGGGTGGGAGGACATTAAAAAGGGAAATTGTCTGATAAGAATTACAACAGTTAGTGGATTGCACACCGCATGGTACCTTCCTGCTCAGCCCACATTTGGGTATTTCACTTGATGTGCACCCGGCAACAAGAGGAGAAAGTTCAGAGTAAACAAAGAACTAAAAGCAGAAGGGAACTGGAAGGTCACAGGAAGCCGCGGTGAGTGGCAACCTCCTTGCTGTGAAACACCCAGAGGCAGGACAGTATGGAGCAATGAACTGTAATCTGTGCCCTGCACCACCCAGGCTTGCCTGGAAGAGTTTCAGTCACTGTGATCACTGTCCTCAGGGATTCCCAGTTCTTCCCACAACTTCCCAAAGTTGTGAGGACTTTGTGATATGTCCAGACTTCAACGTAGCCAGGATGAGCACTTAAGGGGCAAGGTCACAGCCCCACCTTGTTCTTTCCAGACCCAGCTCTGAAGGTGTACCCAACCCTAAGTCTAGGGGCTTACCATCCTCTCTGGTGCCTGGGGATGAAGGACATTCAATTCTGCTGTTTGTTTGTTCATTCATTCATTCATTCATTCATTTACTGTTGACCTAGCTTAACAGTGGGGGGTGTGTGTGTGTATGTGTACGTGTTTATGCTTTTGTGTGACCTGAATAGTGAGTGGTTTCCTTTTCATAAAAAATGTGTATCTGCCTGCTTTCACTCAAACGTTGAAAGTATATACAAAGTGAAAGGTATGGCAAATAATGTAGAACTGTCTAGTCTTTGACCCATTTAACTTGATTGTTAAAACTGTATATACATCATAAAAATATTAATTGCATAGGGGGAAAAGTAGATGGAGAAAATATTGGAAGTATTCATACCAGAAGCGTAACAGTGTCTATTTTAGGGTAGGAGTATTTAAGAGGATATTTTTTCATTTCTTTATTATATTTCTGCAGATTTTTTATAAATGAAAATCTTGCGTTTAAAAAGCAGCCTTTTCTACAAAAGTTAACTAAGGAGTTGAATACATTGGGGGGAAAAAGATTGGAGAATATAAAAAATATACATCTATCCTTCAATAGCCACAAACATGGATGACTAGAACCGGTTCCAGTTCATACAAGATGTCGCAACACGGACAGAGCACACTGGCTTGTTAAAGAGCAAGTGCAAGCCCGGGCGCGGTGGCTCGCACCTGTAATCCCAGCACTCTGGGAGGCCGAGGCAGGCAGATCACCGGAGCTCAGGAGTTCGAGACCAGCCTAGCTAACGTGGTGAAACCTCATCTCTGCCAAAACTACAAAAATTAGCTGAGCATGGTGGCGGGCGCCTGTAGTCCCAGCTACTCGGGAGGCTGAGACAGGAGAATTGCTTGAACCAGGAAGGCAGAGGCTGCAGGGGGCCGAGATTGTGCCGTTGCACTCCAGCCTGGGTGACAGAGTGAGACTCTGTCTCAAAAAATATATATATATAAAAATATATATATTTATACATTATATAAATATATATACATCATATAAGTATATATTTATACATCATATAAATATATATTTATACATCATATAAATATATATTTATACATCATATAAATATATAAATATATATTTATACATCATATAAATAATATATACACATTATATATATTTATACAATGTAGAAATATTGTAGAAATTTCTACATTGTAGAAATATATATACATATATATATCAAGTACAATGCAGATAGAATATTTATACTGAATCCACACATTTCTTTCTTCCGAGAATCCTGTAACCTCCAGTACACAGATTAGTTTTTCTCTTTTTTCTATCACTCTTCACCTATTCTAAGTATATTTCTCCAATTTTATACAGATCTTGGAGTGTTTGCAACTGGGTACTTATAAATTCTACCCCTCCCATTTTACCATTATGCCCTGTGGTCCCTAGAAGTGCCAGACCAGCCTTGGGGCAACCACGCTGAAGCAATTTTTTTCCCACTTGGTCTTCTTTCCAGATACCATTTTTGGCCAGGTAAGAAGAGTTCACCTGGTTTGTGACAGGAGCCTTCAGGTCTGGGTAAAGACCCTGACAAAGAGTTAGCAAGGGCCATGCCCTACTGCCTATGGCCAGACATCCTGACACTTGTGTTATCTGCCTAGCCCTCAGAGGCATTTGCATTTGGGATCCTTGGGTTACAGGACAAGACGATGAGAGTATTTATTAATTTTCCAGTCCATTTCAAGGTGGATCTTACAGTTGTCACCTCTAAAATCCAGCCTTTAAAAATACTGCCTACAATTGATTTCCAAGATGTTAGAAAGAATATATTCTTACCTTGGCATTCTGGAGGAACAGAATTCCAGTTTCCAGTAGCCAAGCACTGTAGCACACTCGCTCCCACCAAGAGTAAGTCTTCATTGCAGGTGAAGCTGCAGACTGACTGGTACCTAAAGGCACCAAAGGGGTGGGAGCAGTTCATCTGAGCCTCATTTGGAACTGGGAGATCCTGGCACTGCAAAGCTAAGGGGTTAAGAAGTAAGGAATAAAGAAAGAGTAATACACATGTACTCATTGATTTTTGAGCCATTAACTCTTTCTAGTGTCAAGAACAGGGATTCCTGAATTGGGCTTAACATAGAAGACAAGAAAAAGTGTCATTTAATTATAATGGCACATGAAGGATTTTAGTAGGAAATGCTAAACCTTTGTTAAGCATCTTGGCAACATGTATCAATAATTTTTAAGCTATAATGCTTTTGGACCCAAGAATTTATGCTAAGTGTGTAATCACGATGCATACCAAAAAGTCTATTCAGAGATTTTTATGACGACATTATTTGTTAGAGCGGAATATTGAAAACAAACACAAATGCCATTAATTGGGGGTGGAAAATTAATGATGGTAGATCCATGAAAAAAATGTTAAAGGTCACTAAAAATAATACACTTTAACTTGAAAGATAGGAGAGAAGTCTCAATGTATGATCTTAAATAAAGAAGCAGAATAAAAATTGTAATATACACCGTGATCTCAAAGATGTAAAATAAATAACCATATATGAAGAGAGCACATGTATTCCATGCATTGTCTCTTCTCGTCTTTAAAATGGTAGTAATAATTGTAACTACCTCATAGGGTTAGACTGAGATCATGGAAAGTGCTCAATGAACATTAGCTGCTATTATTAGTAGCAGTGGTAATAGTAGCAGCAGTAGTAATAGATAGTAATAATATCATTAAGGCTTTGCATCACATGCAGACCCTGAGTTCAGGGGTGGTAAACATTCAGAAGGCCTATGAAGGGAGTTACTGAGACCACATCTCTGGATACTTAAGAGATTATCCAACTATCTTTACTTGATTAGACATTTACCTTCCTGGAGACAACAATGGCTTGAATAATCCCTTATGATCCCTTTTAAGTGTGTCAAAGAGGTCACTGTGTCTTTTTCTCCCAGATGACATATACAATGCATTCCATAACTCAGACTAGGTCTCAGCATCATGGTGCACAGCCATCTATTCTATTGCCTTCTTATTTTTTTTTTTTTTTTTTTTTTTTCTTTTCAATTTTTTTATTACAGTAAAATTTACATAGCATGAAATTTACCATTTACCTTGTCACCAACATTAAGTGTACAGCTCAGTGGTATTAAGTACATTCATATTATTGTGCCACCATCACCGTTATCCATCTCCAAAACTCTTTTCATCGTCTCAAACTGAAACTCAATGTCCATTAAACCACAATTCCCTATTTCCCTCTCCCCCTGAGCCCTTGGCAACCACCATTCTACTTTGTGTCTCTATAACTTTGACCACTCTAAGTTCCTCATATGAGTGGAATCATACAGTATTTGTCCTTTTGTAATGGCTTATTTCACTTAGCATAATGTCTTCAAGGTTCATTCATGTTTGTCGTATATGTCAGAATTTACTTCCTTTTTAAGGTTGAATAATATTCCATTGTAAGTATGTGGAATACTTTTCACTTATCCATTCATCTATTGATGGGCGTTTTCGTTGCTTCCACATTTTAACTGTTGTGATTAATGCTGCTATGAACATGGGTGCACAAACATCTCTTCAAGACCTGCTTTCAAACCATTGCCTCATTTTAAAATCAAGGTATACTTAGACCCAGGGGAGTCACATAAATTGCTCAGATATCTCAGTAAATGAAAACACAAAATGTCAATATTACACTTCTGGAACATGACTTTAGTGTGAGGTACTCCTCATAAAAAAATAATAATTCTGTGAACCACCCCACCCCCACATGAGTGCCTTAATATAAGAGCAAACTATTAGAAACCTAACATATTGAAAGAGGATCATTTTGTCAAATCAGACCATAGACATATGATTTATAAGGTAACATATCATCATATTCATTTTCCCTATGAATCTTACAAGAGTTTTAAAGTTGCATTTACACACACTAATTCACAACTACTAGTGAGGCAGGTAGGTAAAGCAGATAATAGTAGCCCAATTTTACAGAAGATACTAAGCCTCAGAGAGTCTAAACCACTAGCTTAAGGATAGGAAGTGACAGGACTGAACTAAACAACTTGTCCATTACCCTTCCTCATTCCATGCTATTCCTCATGCATGATTTCTTCCCCCAAGTCCCATCTTCTTCATTCCAATGCACCCTATATGTGTCAATCAGTGCAACCCTCACTTTGATTATACTATAGTGGACATGTTGTGCCTAAGACTGACTTTGCTCACCATTTCATCTCATCTCTGGTCCCAAGCACAAAGGACACGGCACATAGTAGGTTCTCAGTGAATATCTGATAAAGAAAGGCATGCCAGTGCTCAGTGCAGATGCTGATGCCTCGAATGAGCTGAGACACACAGAAAAACGTTACCACTGTTACAGTACCTTGACAGACTGGGGCTGGCGCTGTCCACTGTCCCAAGTTATCACACCGAACTATATCAGCTCCTCTCAGCATGAAACCTTCAGCACAGCGGAAGCTACAGTTGGTATCATACTGAAACGCTCTCAAGGATGGAGAGCAATCCATGCTTCCGTGGACAGGACTCTCCAGCGGCTCACACGAAATAGCTAAGTGGAAAAGATACCTTCTAAAGCCGGGTAATGGAAGGGCTGGGTTCTTCCTCAGAAAAGATTTCTGGATGCTACATCTTTCCTGTCCACATTTTCGGTATGTTCAGAACCCTAAAACCTCCATTTTCCAAAAGAGAGACTGCCTGGAACACCTTCCCATGCTCCTCCTTGCCTGACTCACTCTCACCTGCCCTTCAGGTCTCAGCTTAGACTTCCCTTTCCTTAGGAAGGCCTCCCTTCCCACCTTAACCAAGGGTAGGAGCCCCTGCAATGTGCTCCCACAGCCTCTGTTCTTGTGCTGTTCATACATGATTGTCATTCTTCCCCATCATACCATGGTCTCCTCGAGGTTGGGCTCAGTCATTCGTAGGTTTATTCTGGAGCTGAGCAGAGTGTTTTGTATATTGAAAGTGCGCATTAAATATTGACATTATCTGTGAAATTGAATCTGAAAAGAGTATATACAGGAAAATGCTGGACTTGTAGGAAAAAGCTGGACTAGCATAGCTTATTGTTGACACTGTTACCTAGTCCTATGAAATGATCGCGACCGGACTTTGTCTCTAGAACACAGGATGTCATCGTAATCAGACTTCAGTTGCCAAGCGAGTGCAGCCAAAGTGAATTCCTGAGCACAATTAAGCCCTGAGTGACCTCAGTTCTGATAAAGATTGGTTTCCTCATGCTCCTCCTTCATAAAGCATTTTATCTCCAGGCTATTCTTGAGGCTTTTCAAAGTGTAAAGACCACCTCTTTGCTCTGGGCTTTGACCTCTGGTTTTTACAGAATCAGAGCATTTAAGAACCAAAAATCTGGCTGGGCACAGTGGCTCATGTCTGTAATCCCAGCACTTTGAGAGGCTGATGTGAGTGAATCACTTGCGGTCAGGAGTTTGAGACCAACCTGGCCAACATGGTGAAACCCTAGTCTCTATTAAAAATACAAAAATTTGCCTGTAATCCTAGCTACTTGGGAGGCTGAGGCAGGAGAATCACTTGAACCTGGGAGGCAGAGGTTGCAGTGAGCTGAAATCATACCACTGCACTTCAGCCTGGGCGACAGAGAGATTCTGTCTCAAAAAAAAAAAAAAAAAAAATACTCTAGTGCTTCTCTCTTCTCTCTTACCTTATAGGAAAGAAAAGTGAGGTTCAGAAGTGTTAAGTACTAGGTAGTAGCAGGGTTGGGCTTGTAATCTAGGTCTGGGAATTCACTAATCCATCATAAATTTCCTATTCTCCCATTACCACTGTCTGCCTTATAAACTGAGGGTGTGAGGCAATTGCACAGAATTGTTTGGTGGAATTGTGTAATTGCCTGGGATTGCATCACACACTCTTTTTCAATGCAATTTTCCTTCCTTTGCTTCTTTGTCAAAAGCTACCTTCAAAGACTACATAAGGAATCACTCTCTTTAGCCACCTTAGCCACTGCTCCCAACTCCCTCTCAAGTATAGGACATGGTCCTATACCTCGGATATATCAGTAGAGCAGAAGCTGTATGCTAGGTACTTTATACATGCTATTTAATTGTATACTTTTAATTGTATACTATTTAATTGTACTTAATCCTCACAAGCACCTTGCAATTCTCAGCTCCATTTCACAGATGAGAAAACCGTGGTTCCTGGAGGTTGAAGAGCTTGCTCCAGTGCAAGAACTTAGAAGAGATCACCCTGACACTAAGAGCCCTTGGCCTCTCTACCATGCCATGATTCCTTCTTGGACGGAATGGAGGTTGCTAATGAAAAATCCTACCCTCACAGGTTGGCAAGGGTGCAGACCAGTGTCCAGAGCCAATGCAACGGAGCGTGTCCAAGCCCCTCACTCTGTAGCCGAGCTGGCACTCAAATTTACAGTTGGAGCCATATGTAAAAGCAGCGAGTGGATGAATACAGTCCATGGATCCTTCGCTGGGGGCTTCCAGGTGCTGACACTGCACAGCTGGAGACAATAACCAAGGATAAAGAGAAAGGTACTGAGAAAGGAGAAAAGGCACAGATAGAGAGCAATAGTGGAACCACCTCTGAAACGGAGGTGGAGCTAGCAAGATGTGAAGGTCAAGAGACCCTAATGATCTTTGTCCAGACTTGGATTACCGGTTCCCAGGGTGACCTGCGTCTGTTAAAAACAAAGATTCCGGCCGGGCGCGGTGGCTCAAGCCGTGAGATCCGCATCACTTGTGGGCGAGACGAAGGACACGGAGGGTCTCAGAACGCAGATCTCCGTATTCCCTGTAACACGGGGAAACCGCCATCTCGTACCGTAAAAAAAAAATACAAAGAAAAAAAAAAAGAAAGAACTAGGGCGGGCGAGGGCGGCGCCGTGAGTCCCAGCTACTGTGTGTTTGGCAGCTGGGCCAGGAAGGGGGGAGACCCCCCGGAGGCCGAAGCGTGTAGTGGGGACCTGAGGACCCGGCCACTGCGGATCCAGCTTGAGGCAGAGGAACCCCCGTCAAAAAAAAAAAGAACAAAAAAAAGAAAGAAGAAACCAAGATTCCCAAGTGCTATCTTAAGTCCCTCTGATTCCGCTCTACTTCTATCAACCTGTCTCAGTAGGTCTTCTAGTGTCCACTTACAGATGTAGAGGCCACCCTTTCTGATCTTATGTGGAAACTGTGAATCAGGCCATTCTGAAACTGCCTGTGGTTGTGAGTTTGGGGAAAGAAAGGAATTTTTTTTTTGCTTTCTCATCTCAGATGAACCCAATCTAGCTGAATGGCAGGTAGGAAGAGAATTAAATTTTGGCAATTCAGGCCAGCTTCTCCATAAGCCGGTCAGTTTCATCTATGCACTAAGTGAGGACTGGGTGCAATGGACATTATACATCCCAACTACCTGAAACTCACCTTTACACACTGGGGCTGGGGCTGTCCATACCCCCGAGGCTGTGCATTGCACCACTTCTGGTCCAACTAATGCAAATCCCTCTTCACAACTGAAGCCGCAGCTAGACTGATGCTGGATTGCTTTTGCAGAATGAAGGCAGGTCATGTTTCCTCTTTCAGGAATCTTCAGGGGTGGGCACTGGGCAGCTAAAAACAACCACAGAATAATAGGGTGGATCCTTGGACAAATTTTGTCCATCACCTTGGAAGCCTTCAAATTCTGCAGCAGTCACACCTTCCCAAAGTGGCAGGCAGGGTGATGCACTAGAATGGTTAAATGGTATTTTCAATAGCTGTTTGGAAAGATCTAAACACCCTTGTTTTTCATGTAGAGAAGTTAGGTAAAATTATCAAATTAATAATACTTAACCCCTAAGTCCTCATCATTGTACTCTGTTTACTTTACAATTAACAAAGGGAAAGGGGAGGGGTCCTTTTGTAATGTTTTGGCCTAAGAATCAACAATTAAACTGACTAAGTCACTCTACCCGTAAAAAAATACCATGAAAATCGAAATTAATGTTACTCTGGTTGACAGTTAACAGTGATAACCAGAATTTTCCATCTAACATAGATGGTCATTATAGCTCGCATTTTTTAATGAAGAAAGTTCATTCCATCCTCTTCTCCTCAAAAATTCTATGTCAGTGAGGATGAAAAGAATAAGGTCTACATACCTAAACACTGCGGAGGCTTATGTGTCCAGATTCCAGAAGCCAAGCATTCCAGCTTGCTGGGCCCATTTACTTGATACCCGTCAGCACAGTGGAAGCTGCACTGCGAGTTAAAAGAGAAGTTTCCCAGAGGGTGGCTGCAGTTCATAAGCACGTGTTGAGGGAGCTCAAGTTCTCCACACTCTGTCACTGCAGGAGACAAAATAGTGATTTTTATTTTCCATGTAGAATTAACAGCAATGTCAGGTTTGCTGAAAGCTGTAACTACTTATGTAACCCTCTTAACGCTAATTTTCTAAACTTCTAACCCAAGCTATACATCTCTATTTGGTCTCTTTATGTTGGCTGCGTCTTGGGAAATAGTCATTCTTTCACAAGTTTTTACTTCAAACAAGTAAAATTAGCTTCAAAGTGTTCTGTTGGTTTTGCTTCCTTTCCCTTTCCCTTTTCTTTTTTGAGATGTATGAGTCAATGTTTTCTCCCAAGAATAAAATGTTTTTACCTAGAGTGTATGTCTAGGGACACTGAGTGGAGAAGACAGATGATAGAGGGGGGTTAGTACCATCCTATTCTCACTGGAGAGCCTTCAACATGGTTTATTTACTTCTTGGCATCATCTCTAGCATAAAACCAAAATAATATCAACAAAATAGAAGCCTCACCATATTCACATTCTGGCCCATAGAATCCAGGGTAACAGGAGCAGGTGTAGTTCCCGATGGTCTCGAGGCACTCTCCTTGTTTGCTGCAGGACATGTCCTGGCAGGAGGCTGCATAGATATGGAAAGGTCAGAGTCATGAACATTCACCGATGAGAGGAAAGGCTGAATTCTCATTTTGACCATAGACTCATCCCCTCTCAGGTAGGACTGAGCTAGCCAGACAAGAGAGAACCACAGTATCTTCTAGAGAACCAACATGTTCCCTGTGAAAAGCATTGTAGGGGTCTGCTGGAGTATTGCATGGCTCCCATTTCATACTGGCATTTAGTGTTTCCTAAGGAGGGTACTGCTGTGTGTGGACACAGAGGGACAAATGGAGCCACTGACAGATGTGTGGACAGAGAAACTCTATGTGGTACAAAATGGGTTGTGGTTTTCAAACCAAGTATTGTTTTATTATGGAAGCCCCAATGTCACATATTACAGCATTGAGGTTAGGCACCAGATGTGGGGCGTGGGGTCACACAGGCATGATACGAATCCTGGCTCTGCTGCCTACTTGCTGTGTGACCTTAGGCAAGTTACTTCTCTGAGCTCAGCTTGCCCAGGGTTAGGGCCCAGACCCTTTCACCTTTCATTTGCTTCAAATCTATGTCCAGAATCCTACAGTGGAGAAACAGAGGAGCCAAATGAGATATTTAAGACCTACTCATGGTAAACGACAATCTTATGAGGTGATGTTTCATGAGTCTAAATATAGCAGGCCAAGATAGTGCTGACTATGGCTGACCTGCCATGTCCTCCTCACCAAGACAGTGCCACTCAGGTGACAGAATAGAGCAGGGCCAGGGTTTCTTTCCTGCAAGAAAGTATTTGAGGGTATGTGCACTTGATGAGAATTAGTATTAGAATTGATACTTTGAAAGCACTGAGAATGTTTTTATTAATGAGGTCATATTTGGGGCAAGGCCTGTGGCTGAACTGTTTTCTGGTGATTATTTCCTCTGCCTTAAGCCCTGTCCACATGCTGGTTCACTTGGAAGTATATTACAAAAGGATATCCACATGTCATAGGTGGATATGCTGTGCTACATGATCTCTATGTTTCCTCTCAATTCTGAGATACTAAAATTCTATAAACCAAGCAAAGCTCTATAGGAAGAAGTTCCTATGGCAGTCAGTGAATTTGGTGAAGCTGCACTGAGACACTGGGAAGGGTTCAAATAAAGAGAATACGTAGGAGGTAATAGCAGCTAAATAGATACAGGTTTGGTCCACATCCTATTCACCTTGCTCCCTGACCTTAACCCCACCAATGTCTTAATGCCTTACAGTAGCAACCCTTGCCTGCCCTGTGTTCTTGGAGCATACAAATGTTTCCCCAATTATAGCTTCCTTGGGATCTCAGAACTCCAGGGGAAAAAACAGACAATGCTCTGTGTTCTATCCCATTTCAGAGTTTCCTGAATAGACAGGTTAGCAATTTATCTATTCCTTTGGATCTCCAGGGAGAAGATGATTTATTCATGATGATTCAATGAATAAATCTTTTTTTGATAGCATGCTTTGAGGTCTAATAATTACTGACATGTAGAGAATTATTCCAACAATCAAACTTAATTTCATATTACAGTATATGTATTTCTCATCTCCCACGGATAACTGATGCTTCTCTGCATCCTTTACATCTTAGATGGCAAAATGGCAGCAATGGGAGTGGCTGCTTAGAGTACTGTGTTGGCGGACATAAAACCCATCTGTGTCAGGTAAAGTTGTATTAATTAGTGATGTCTACCACTGTTGCGAGTTAGAGGAGTGGCATCATTTATGCCAGTAATTTTCAATCTTGTTTCTATCTTGCAATTTTTTTGGTAAGCTTTATTGAGGAAGACTGTCTTGCAGAAATGGATCTTGAAGGCTGGGTGAGAAGCAGAAGTAGTGGCATATTGAAACAGCTAGTGGCAGTCTAGGTTATCTGATAAGAGATAATTCTAGGGAGGCATAGCCCGGAAAGGGGTAGAGAGCTGACTGGGAGAGCAGTAGGATGAGCTAATATCCTGGTAATGTCCATCCTGATCCATGAATATATGGTCATTAATCAATTTATTTATACATAAATGCACTGTTTATAAAGTAGATCTGATTATATGATAATGCATTCGTGGATATGTTTTGCCTCCGCTAGGAGGCTTGGGGAGAAAACGGGCAATGTAGGTTTTCTTTATTCTATGTATTCTGTTCCATACATGTACTGTTGAGGGCTTCTGAGGGAGAGGTGTTTAAAATCTAAAGAATTCAGAATATGTATGGCAGATGATTTATCGAAGAAGCTTCAGAGTACTTAGAACCTTCCTGCTCAGGGCAGTCCACACCATCCTTGGGCACAGTGTTCATGTGCTACAAAGGACAGAACCGGCCCCTCTAGACAGGGAAGCAACGTCAGAAAGAAGGAATCAGCTCTGACACTAGGCTCATGACTAGAGGAAACCAAGCTTTCAGGAATGTCTGCTTACTCTGGTAGTGGGAAAGTTGACAATTAAAATACACTCGAAGTATTTCACCTTCAATTATTTCTTTCCTGCCCACTCCCCAGCACTACCCTCCCACCAAAGTTCAATGGATCTAAAGGTATGTTGTTGTTGAAGAGAAACTGTAAAGCATTTATAATCCTTGGTTATATTCTCAAATTGTCTCATAAAAATGTAGAGCAAAGAATGTGGTAGTTTATATGGCTAAAAAACACCAACTTTGGAATTAGCATGAGTGTGAAACTGGCTCCACCATCAAGTAGCTTAGAAACTTGGGCAGATTACTTAATCGCTCTGAGCCTTTCCCTCATCAGCAAAGTAAGACTAATAGAAAAATGATTGATGGAGTTGTCATGAGGACTAAATGTGACTAATATTAAATGAACAAATGACACATGAACTAAATAAACTAATAACACAATGCCTAAAGCATACTGACATTCAGTAGTTATTAGTTACAGCTGTGTCACCTAGGGGCTGGGCTAAATTCCCTTCCAATTTATACTATCTCTTATACCAGGCACAGGGGTGAACAAAAGCTCTAGACCTAAAATTTGGGAGACTGGTTTCAGGTCCTCACTTTGCTTCTGTCCTGCTCCACGGCCTTGAGAAACTAAAACCTCGTGAGTGTCCTTTTCATCAGTTATAAGATAAGACAGGTGAGCTGGATGATACTAAAATTTCCCTCTAGTTTTAAGCGGCCAGTTTTCTCTAATTCTGATCTTATATTCTTCAAGGTGCTCAATCATGCTGACTGACTAACAATTCACTCCTTGATTTCATGCCCTGCCTTTGTACCTTTGTGTTGACTCAGTGATTACTTTGGCCAACCGGAGAAGGCAGGTTGTTTCAAACAGAAAAGTTTCAAAGTAGAGAAGGCCCTACCTGTGTAACACAATGCGTGCTTTTTCTTCAAGCAGTGCTCATCATTCCACTTGCCAGGGGCTGACGGACTCTTGATGTAGATCTCCACGCAGTCCTCGTTGTTCCTTTTGTTGTTAGGTTCATTATCAGCCCAGTTCTCAGCCTCTTTAGTGAGAGCCTTTTTGGTTCCCACCCAGGTCCATGTCTTATTGCTCTTTCGGATCCCAATCCAGTAGTAGGTGCTGTAGTAGGGTAGGACCTCATTGAGGTAATCAATTTCCTTTTTATTCTGGATGGCCACTAAGTCTGTGTAGCGATTCTGGCAGTATTTGCGGGAAGTATTCCATGAGTATGCTTTTGTGCTGTAATGATAAGTCCACGCTGCCACTTCTTTCTGGTTTGTTAGTTCTAGAGTAAAGGAGAGTGTGTGCCAGGTTAGCAATCCTCACCAAAAAGAAGCTGTGACCCCAAGTATGCCTCTGCATAGTCAAATGTGTTTCTGACCAGAACATGAATACCCAAAACATGACTAGTTTATGTCTACTGTAGTTGTTTGAAGGAAAAAGAGTGGTTTCCACCTTTTGCTTAAAAGTATGAATGAAGTCAGAATAGGAAAATGTCATCTTCTGAGGATCCTTGATGTTAAAGATTTGGAATCATAAGATGTCAAAGTTGGGAGGGACCCTGGAAGTCATCTAATTTACTCCTGTCCTTTTATAAAAGAAGGAGACATAAGTAATTTGCCCAAGCTCAGATTAAATGACACAAAAATGTCTTAAGGGCAGGCTCTACCTCTTCACGTGGAAAATAACATGCTTTATGACCTGGAGCCTACCAGCTGGTCCAGGCTCATTGCCCACCATATTTACTTTCTCAGAAAAACAGAATTCCTACTTCCTTGAATTTGCACATGTTCTCCCCACTATCCTGGCTGTTCTCTCTTCTTATGTCTGGTAAACTTTACTCCCCCTACTCTCCATGGCTTTCCCAGATGGACTCTGTGTTCCTTCCTCCAGGCTCCCACAGCACCTCATCCCTGCCTCCATTGCCCTCATTGCCATGTATGGTAATGTCTGTTTCTATGATACAGCCTACATCTGCCAGGTTGTAAATCTCCAGTGGTGTTTTGTTTTTAGCTTTGGATCTTTAGCACTGAGCCTAGAGTTTAGCACTTAACAGGCCTTCAATAAATATGTGTTGAATGAGTGAAACACAGTAGGTTTGTGGCAGAGCCCGGGTAGGAAATCAGATATCCTGATCTGCAGTCTTATAGTCGTTCCATTCTTCTTGGCTGTTTCTCTTTTATTAACTACTCTACTTCCTCCATGTCTGCATACTCACTTATTAACATAGGGCTCAAAACAGCCCTTTTTCACAAGTGTTTTTGATATCAAATGAAATAAAGAATGTGCCTTTCAAAAGTATAAAGGTACTACAGCACTGTTACCATAGCCTGTGGGAGTCCACCCGGGGCAGGAGAGGCCAGTTCCCGCATGAAGAGGTGTACAAAGCAAGCAATCAGACCTGGAAATGGGTTTGTTTCCTGTTTATTTAGAGGCTTGTTTCTATCCAACCCTCTTCTCTGCTGCCTGCATGAGGGTTAGTCATGCTTGTACCTCCCTTGCTGACATTTCCAGGACATTGTTTTGCCTTAAAAACTTCATTCTAATATAGCCAGGGCTACATTATGACTTTCATAGACTTTAGGCAACTTTGCCTATGTAGGCTTCTTCCTCCATGCTAACATATTAAAAATTCTATTTTGCAACTGCACTGATACAAAGATGAATATATCACTATATATTAAAACATTTTCTTTGACTTCAAATAAAATAATTCTAAAAGACATTCAAACATATTTGTGGGTCTCTAAAAATTGTGTGGGTCTGTGTCTACTATGCCTAATGGAGACATTGGTCCTGGATATATCATTTTAAGTTCTTTGCTGTGCCCTTTCTACCAATATGATGGTGTTGGATACCTTTGTCTTCCAGCAATCGGCACTTGGACAGTTTTCCCATGCCTCAAGTCAACTGGCTACAATCCGTAAAGTTCTCACACATAGCTCTGGGCTCTACCCTAATTACTTGGGGCTAAGGAAAAAGTTAGCATCAAGTTTACCAGAGATCAGGGCGCTGAAGCAAAGGAGTCGGGCAATTCCAAAGACCACTCTCCGGAATCTCTGATACAAGATGGCTTTTTGGCAGCTGGCCTGAAACAAGAAGAGAAAACTTTCTTTCAGTATCCATACACCACCAACATAGCCAAAAATAATTCTAGTTAACAATCATTATGTTGAAGTATAATTTTGCCAATTTCCATTGGAATAGTGGTTCAAGCTTTCTGCTTCCTTCTTGCTTCGCATTGCCCTGCTTCTAAGTTCTACCCTGGATGGACACTGTAGCAAGGCTGGGGACAGAGTTCATTTCTTCATTCATTCAACAAATATTTATTGAGTAGCTTGTGCCACCAATATTTGTATTTTAAGATACATTTTTAATGTGTATGGAAGAAAGCTAAACACATTAATATGGCTGTAATTATTATTATAAAACATTATTATAGAAAGTCACATGAGAACTTCCTGACCCACACAAATAATGTCTAACCTATACTTTGAGGTCCAGAGCATCAACTAATTGTGTTATGCTATGCCATCTATTTTGTATTATTGATCTTTGTTTTATCTTCTTGCTTTTTCATTTCTGCACACATCTACAATACTATTCAATGTTTAATATACATATGTATGTATATATTTAATATTTCTTAATATATGCAGTAAACTTATTCCCCTTGGATCTATAGCAACTATTATTTCTCATGAACTCTCTTCTGTTGGGCTTTCATCAAATCTATGAATATTTTCAAAATGTTTTTGGGGCCGGGTGCAGTGGCTCATGTCTGTAATCCCAGCACTTTGGGAGGCTGAGGTGGGTCATGAGGTCAGGAGTTCAAGACCAGCCTGGCCAACATAGTGAAACCCTGTCTCTACTAAAAGTACATTTTTTAAAAATTAGCCAGATGTGGTGGTGGGTGCCTGTATTCCCAGCTACTCAGGAGGTGGAGGCAGGAGAATCACTTGAACCGGGGAAGCGGAGGTTGCAGTGAGTGGAGATCATACCACTGCACTCCACCCTGGGCGACAGTGCGAGTCTCCTTCTCAAAAAAAAAAAAAAAAAGTGTCTACCGTACCTATTGGATAAATTGGTCCTGGATATATCAACTGAGTTCTAGTGATGCTTATCTTCTGCGACCTCCTCATGTTGCACTTGAAAATACTGAAGCTTGGAGCATCTAAATAACACATTCAGAATGACAGTAGCAGAGCCTGACTTTGAAACAAGAGCTCTTTCCACTCTACTTCTTTTTTTTTTTTTTTTTTTTTTTTAACCTTCATTAACCTCCAGGCTTCTAAATCCATGCTGCATTGCTGTTGTGGATGGTAGAGTGTGTGACATGACTAAGCCTAGCTGCTACATTGGTTCCCCTCCAAAGCCACTCCAACATTACCATCGACATAAAAACAGTGCATTTGCTATGCATTTGCAGTTTTGTCACTATCCCAGTCAGACTGCTACCTAAAATCTCTCCTGTAAAGAAATCCCACATTGCTATAGACCACAATTTGGTCTGTGACGATTTGCTGCGGGGTTATGTATGTGTTCGTGTGTCTAGACCCAGTGATAGATGATGTAGTGTGCATGGAACGGTGTGCAGTTGTGTGCGTGTTCCTGTGTCATGCCCCAGTGACAGATGATGTAGGGTGCATGGGACAGTGTGGGGTTGTGTGTGTGTGTGTGTGTGTGTCATGCCCAGTGATGGATGGTGTAGGGTGCATGGGACAGTGTGGGGTTGTGTGTGTGTTCATGTGTCATGCCCACTGATGGATGAGGTAGGGTGCATGGGACAGTGTGGGGTTGTGTGTGTGTGTGTGTGTGTGTGTGTCATGCCACAGTGACGGATGATGTAGGCTGCATGGGACAGTGTGGAGTTGTGTGTGTATGTGTGTGTCATGACCCAGTGATGGATGATGTAGGCTACATGGGATGGTGTGGGGTTTTGTGTGTGCATGTGTCACGCCCCAGTGATGGATGATATAGGGTGCATGGGATGGTGTGGGGTTGTGTGTGTGCATGTGTGTGTGTGTGTCATGCCCCAGTGATGGATGATGTAGGGTGCATGGGATGGTGTGGGGTTGTGTGTGTATGTACTTGTCATGCCATAGTGATGGATGATGTAGTGTGCATGGGATGGTGTAGGGTTGTGTGTGTGTTCATGTGTCATGCCCAAGCGATGGATGATGTAGGATGCATGGGATGGTGTGCAGTTGTGTGTGTGTGTGTGTCACACCCCAGTGATGGATGATGTAGGGTGCAAGGGATGGTGTGGAGTTGTGTGTGTGTCATGCCCCAGTGATGGATGATTTAGGGTGCATGGGACTGTGTGGGGTTGTGCATGTGCTCGTGTGTCATGTCCTGGTGATGAATGATGTAGGGTGCATGCGATGGTGTTGAGTTGTGTGTGTGTGTGTGTCACGCCCAGTGATGGGTGATTTAGGGTGCATGGGACAGTGTGGGGTTGTGTGTGTATGTGTGTGTCATGCCCAGTGATGAATGATGTAGGGTGCATGGGACAGTGTGGAGTTGTGTGGTGTGTCACGCCCAGTAATGGATGATGTAGGGTGCATGGGACAGTGTGGAGTTGCATATGTGTGTGTGTGTGTGTGTGTGTCATGCCCAGTGATGGATGATGTATGGTACATGGGAGAGTGTGGGGTTGTGTGTGTGTCACGCCCAGTGATGGATGATGTAGGGTGCATGGGACAGTGTGGGGTTGTATATGTGTGTGTGTGTGTATGTGTGTGTGTGTGTGTCTGTCATGCCCAGTAATGGATGATGTAGGGTGCATGGGACAGTGTGGAGTTGCATATGTGTGTGTGTGTGTGTGTGTGTCATGCCCAGTGATGGATGATGTATGGTACATGGGAGAGTGTGGGGTTGTGTGTGTGTCACGCCCAGTGATGGATGATGTAGGATGCATGGGACAGTGTGGGGTCGTGTGTGTGCATGTGTTCATGCACTTTTGACTACAGCCTGACCAGACACCAGGGAGAACTCAACTCAAACCAGTTGATGTGCAGAGAGCGGAGTTATGTCATAAGCCTAGAACTTTTCATCTGGGAGCTCCTGAATCTTTGCTTTGGTAAATAGGCATATTTTGTGTTCTTATAAGCTGCTGATCTCTGCAGGACCTATGATTAAACACTGAGAGTATCATAACGTTATGATTTATGGTGCTGTTTATTTGCACAAAAAGTAGAGTGACAGATAATCCCTTAGTGCGAAACTAACCACACTGCTTTCTCTGAATTGTATTGTGTCACAAGCTGTTCTTACGACCACATTTCAAAGCGCACCATTCCAAATGCTGAAGCAGAAATCTTCAAACCAGGATAAGGCTGACTTCCCAAGGGTTTCACAAGCAAAGAGAATGTTAATTAAATCTATATTCAGATTCTCAACTTTCACATATATACTTTCTTAAAAACAATTTGCCTAAAATACACCTTTCTCCCACTTTACAAGAGAAACATTATACCTTTTACTAATTTCTTATTTATTCTAGAGCTTTGCCCTTGGATATAAATACATTCGTATGCCAAAGATGATTCAAAATATTGGTATAGGTATTAAGAATTTGAATATTTTAAATGATATTGCAGCAAATCCTTTTTCAAGTATGGTGATTTCCATTTATTTCCTTTCATCAGCTTTGAGGCAGCACTCAATTAAGTTGTCAGCTTTGACTAAATTTTGATATTAAATCACTATGTAATTTGGGGCATATAACTTGGAAGGACTTCAAGGAATTGAGACATTGCTACAATAAAACTTCTAATTCCATTTACTTATTCATATGAATGAAGTTTCTCAGGTTTAAATCCTTGAAAATGAAATATGGGAATAATATTAATGCCAAACTTGTTGGATTTTGTTGATAAATAATATTCATTTATGGATATATGAACAAATAGGGGAAAGCGCCTCCTCTCTTAGAGACCAATCTTCAATAGTAATTTAAATACAAAGGTTTAACTTACTTGTCAAAATTTGTAGTATATTTACCTTAGTTTATTTAATTGTGTACTAAAAGTAGCTGTCATGCTAACTCAATAGAATAGAAAAACATTTTAACACATAGAGACTTATGATTGTAGAAAATTAAAATTTTATATTATATTTTTATTTTGCAAAGAAGTACAATAATCAAGAAAATACTTTAAGCTTAAAATGTGTTGTCTTAGGCTAAAGAATGTAGAAGTGGGATAGAAATAAGTATTCAAGGAGAGAAAAATGAATAACATAAAATTTCTTTTTACTAAGAGTCTGCTTGTGGTCTTTTAAGTGATGAGGATTGCAGATCACGCTAGTACTTTATTCCATTGGATAAACTTTAAGAAATTATGTAACAATTTTATTTTTAAAGTCTAATTTTTGTAATACATTGGAAAATCCAATATTCTTTTGCTTTTAAAATTTGGGATAAAAAATTGTAGCTTTCCACTTAGAAAGGTGTAAGAGGTAACGGAGTGCTCCAGGATATTTTTGGAGGTATAGGAGCAAAAATATTGCTGCTGAAGAGCACAACTCTGCAGGCTTCATGAAGGGACCTAAGTGCTTGTCTCTGAACCTGGGCTCTGCCTCTACTCAGGCAGATTGCAGGACAAGTGCAACGATTTTAAATTTAGTGGTACTCTTCCTGTGGAAGTGGTTTTCTCCCTGAACAGAGTATTTCTAGGGATTTCCCTGGCTTTGGGGCCAGCTCACAAGAGTGCGTGGGGCGAGGGAGTCGGCGAGTCTCCTAGTCTCCCATCACAGCGGTCAACTCTACCCACTGTTTCCTGTTTTGGCTTGTTTGTTTAAACTTTTAAATAAGATGTGGTTTAAACAAAGTTTCCAAAAAGAGATGTTTCCCATTTAACCTGTTCGTTTGTTTACACTTTTTTTAAGCAAAATTTCGTCAGCAAATTCTGTACCACACGAGACAAAACAGAAAGTGAGAGAGAGCGAGAGAACTTGTTTTAAACATTTTAAAATTTTAGAGGACTGGTACAGTGCTTCCGATAAGGGCGCAACATCTAAGAAAGGAAAATGCAAGTCAGTGTGCATCCCCTGCTTTAATCTGACATAGTTTTCTGTTTCCTTGCAT